TAAATGATACATATGAGTCTAAAATATTAATGTGGATCAAAAATCATGAAGTTTGACTTTAAATTGGCCATAGTTGACTTTTTCCCCAATACAACTGATTTTTAGGTCAACTGCTCAATTGACTGAGCAAAAGTGTGATCCAAAGCTTGAAACTTGACATGAGTATTCTTGAGGGTCCATAATTATTCATGAAAGTCATATGGGGAATTGGAAGTTCAAAAATCTTTGTGCAATCTCGAACCCTAATTTTGGTCATCAGTGCTTAAGGAGGTGTCTTGAGCTGATCAAACCCTAGTGCAGTCTTGAGTCCAAGGAGATCTTGTGAGCAAATTCTTGATAAGTGAGAGGTCAAATTTTTGGGTACAACACCTAGAGGTGTATATGTTCAAGTGTATTATGTTTCAGTTATTTTTTTGTCTTTATTGTTAAGTTTGCTAGCGTTTGATTATTAGTCTTGTCATGCAATCCTAGTTACTAGAAGTTAATATATATACAAGAATTTAAAGTGCAGAAATATAAACCTACACTATTACATGGTTTCGGGGAGGGGATTTAAAATGTACAAAAATTAGGGGAAGAAAAATAAAGAAAGCAGATAAAATCCTATTAATTATTATATTCCAAGATGCAGGTACAATAATATAAAAATATGAAAAATAAATAACGCGCGAAAGATTGAAAGTTCGTCTAAGAAAAACCTAATAAGAAAAAAAAAATTTGTTGTTTTGAGATTTAAGTGAAATGGTCAATTATCCTAAAGTCTATATAATAAAATTAAATTAAGAAAAATAATCTAATTTATTTTTAGTCTATTTTTATTATTATGAAAAGAAAATAATTAATCCTAAATTCTAATTCATTTTTAATTAAGAAAAGGTTAAAGTTTTAAAAAAATTTAACTTGATTAATAAAATAACTAGCCTAATATTTTTTTTGTGATTTTGACTTTAATGCTAAAATAAATAAAAGAAAAGGTCAATAAAGAAATGAAAACAAAAGGGGGGGGGGGGGGAGGGGGGATCCTTCGATTGCATGGAGAGAGGGGGCGTCGATTCAGAGGAATAAAGTTGCCTTTCGATTCTGTGAAGGGTGTTATTTTCTTCGATCCAATGACAGGATGTGGATTTCGATCCATAGGGCGTTGCTGGAAAGGCCTGGAGGATCACCTATGAGGGCACTGAATCTGTAAAGATGTGTTAGCAAAACAAAGCGCAGGACCTGGGTATCAAACCCAGGTCCTCCGATCTTGCACGCGTTGGGTCTATTCAGGCTATATCTGTAGCAAGTGTAAGCAACAAAACAAATGCAGACTTGGGTGTCGAACCCAGGTCTTTAATCTTGAATACAGATCGGATAAGCTACAAATACTAATATGTCATGCAAATGTAAGTTTGATATTTTTACCCATTCTTACCAAGGGTGATGTATGAGTCTGTGGCTTCAGGCATGGATACCCTTGTTTAAGGATTGCTTCGATTTTGGCACTTCTGGATATGAGGATACTTGCTTAAGGGTTGGGGATAATTGGAAAAGCTTCAGGAAAACCTTCAAGAATATGTTTTTGATTTCATGTGACTCTCCCTCCTGTTGTGTCCAGCCTCCTGTTGTGTTCAGTCTCCTTTAGAGCTTGTTAGTATTTTCTTTATATAGAGGGAACAAAGGGGACAAGAGAACAAAGATTTAAACATCCATAAACAAGTGTTTTCAAAGCCATGAATGATGTTTTGTAACATTGCAAAAGTCATGGGAACTTGTCTCCTTTTGAATTTGAATGAACCTGGACATACTTCCCTCTTTCAAACGCCTTCAATCCCCTGCCCTTCGATTGACCTCAAGTTGCCTCTTTCGATTGGCTCTTTTGGATGGACTTTCTATGTACGCTTTGTGCCCTTTTCGAATGGGCCACCAAGGTGTGTCCTTCGAATGGCTATCACGCGTGTTGAAGTGCGTACAATTGTTTAAAATGGGGCCATTGCCCAGTCAAAGCTGGCACAAAGGCAGCCTATGTCTTATGGATGCTAGCATGAAGCAAGTCAAAGCAGGCGTAGAGGAGGCTATTACCTAGGCGAAGCTGGCACAACAGTAGCCAGTGCCTTGTGGGTCGAAGGTAACTTTTTTTCCTGGAGAATCAAAAGAAGCTTTTGGCCTGGTGGATCAAAGGCAAACCTGAAGGATTCTTGGCCTTGTGTGTTGAAGGAAAGCTGAAGAGACCAGTTTGAAGAAGTTCTTACTTTGTGCGCTGAAGGCACGCAAAGAGGGAGTATTTGCCTAGTCGAAGCAGGAATCAAGCTTACATGCATGGAAATCAAATGCCCAAACAAACAGGAATCCAACTTATTGCAGGTAGTCATTGTATTGTGAATCAAGCCAACATGCAAAGCCAATGGTGCAATCGAAGGAGCACTAACAGGAGGCCCTTCCTTTTTGGATTGAAGGAGGTTGTTTCAAAGGAAACGCATGCCCAGTCGAAGCAGAAATTAGCAAACAAGCAAAAGATTAAGGCTTCAATCGAAGCTTGGAAATTTGAGGCAATCTTGGAGGAGGTTAGGCGCTCAATCGAAGCCTATCAAAATATCAATCGAAAGACACCTCGTTCATGCCAATCGAAAGACCTTGTTTATCTTCAAAATTTTATTTTTTTTCTTTAATCAAGTTTTGTAATCACCTATGTAAGAGAAAATCTTGGAAAATATGAGAGGGCAAATTTTGGAGTACAACACATACCAAACATCTTTGATCAAAATGGTTCTTCCATTCTTCACTCCGACTTTGACATTTCCCATACCATCTACATTAACGTACTTATCATCAGTACATCTGATCTTTGTCCTCATTCTGGAGTCAAAATCAACCAGCCATTGTTTATTTCCAGTCAACTGATTTGAGCAGCCAATGTCCATATACCACTAGTCTACCAAATACATACCATCAGACTCAGAAGCCATCAATAGCACATGTTCATCATCGAAATATCTTCTAGTTATATTTGCTTCTTCTGATTTCCTTCCCTTGTTTGACCAGCAATCTTTAGCAAAATGGCCAAACTGTTTGCAGCAGTAACACTTAACCTTCTTTTTATCAAACTTCTCTCTTCCCTTCTAATATTTCTTCTCATCAAAAGTAGAGGTTTCAGACTTATGAGACCTACCATGTCCTTTCTTGGTTTCTGACCAAGAATGCTTATGGTCCTTCCTGATGAAAGAAGCTTTCAGAGTCTGCTAAATTTCTCTTTCAGAAGTTCTCTCACTCGGATTAAACTCTAGCGCCTCTAGATTGCTTTTCAGCTCTTAAATTCTCACGGTGTCTATATCTTTAGAATGTTCGATTGCTACAACAATGTAATCAAATTGAGGGGTAAGAGACCTCAATATCGTCTCAATGTTTACTTATTTAGAAAAGGGTTTCTCCACACAGTTTCATATCATTTGTGATCAAAATCACTCTAGAGATGTAATATTGTACCTTCTCATTGTTCTTCATGTTGAGATTCTCATACTTCTTACATAGAGATTGAAGCTTCATGTTTTCACTAGCACATCACCATTGTAGCACCGTGTCAGTATATCCCATGCAGCCTCCGCCGTTGTCGAATCAACGATTTTCTCGCACATTCGCATCCATACACTAATGGACACAGAACAACTCCTTTTGGTCCTTCTTCCTCATATCTCTCTGTGCAGTTTTCTGTTCCTCCGTCGCATCTACTACAACATGAACATTACTTTAAGTGACAAAATCAAGCACATATTGAGCACCGAACAACACACGCATTTGAATCATCCACTAATTTCAATTCTTTCCATCAAACACCATAAGTTTAGTATTCAAACTGCTTCCGCCGCTCATCTTCATTTTTATGCACTAAAACACACAGATCTCTGATCTCACCAAACACTCGTGTTTCCTGACTCCGCAAAATCAAGAAATGCAATTTTTCTATGATTCCCCTCGTGAACTCAACGTGAATTCAAGAACAACAAAATTAATTGCACACGCCTCACGTACACTCATGTTTCTCTGTGAATCTAACCGATGCTCTATATACCAATTGTTGGTGTACAAAGGTTAAAGATGAAAATGAATATGGAGAGAGAGAGAGAGAGAGAGAGAGAGAGAGAGAGAGAGAGAGAGAGAGAGAGAGAGAGAGAGAGAGAGAGAGAGAGAGAGAGAGAGAGAGAGAGAGAGAGAGAGGAGACTTACTACAACAACTTGTTAAGTAAGAAATTGTATATTAGAATCTCTTACTAAAACCCTAATTACAAAGTTGCTTATATATACAAAATAAACTGCTACGTAGGCCCTAACAATAGTAAATTAATAGTTAAGTTAACAAAACAAACTAGGACAAACATTCAGAAACTAAACACTGCTTCTGGAACGACAACAACATCAGAAGCTTCATGCTTATGACTAACACAACATGCTTCTGAATATGAATTACTTCTAACAGAAATATGATATCACTTGGACTTTGTGGTTGTTCAAATTCCTTTTTACATTGTAGTTCTCTATACCTATGAAGATCTTTGGTAATATCCTTGCTTTTTTCGCACCAATCTCTTCCATAGTTGTTTACCATCCTATTATTTTCATCAAATCATCTAGCACTTTAGATTTCCTACGCACAAGTAAGTCAGAAAACATGCATGGTTTTAAATCTTTCCACCCGTGTGTGTAAAGTCAGAACTTGATTTAGATTCTCGACCTGACATCTTGTCATTGAAACAATCTTTGAAAGAAGTGAGAGATTCCTCCTACTTTTTATTGAATTTAATGAGGTACATTTAACTCCTCCATGTTATCCAACTCATAATGAATCTTGAAACGATAATTCTATCATGATTTTCATGTTTAGAAGCAATATCTATTACATGCATAAAAACACAACTTGGCCTCATAAACATGAATCTTATATAATATAAGATTAACATTTCATAAAACAAAAACCTTTATTAATAGCATAGGAAAAAGAAGAAGAAAAAAAAGACACAAAAGCACATTTATTTATTCATGGTGTCAGTAACTTCATTCTCTACACTCTCCACAGCTTTAGGTAAAAGCCCTTTTTCTCTGCAGGTTTCTACAGCTCCTGTGAACATGCCTTCTAAGCTATACTTAAATTTGAACCCCAAATCTGTGATCTTCTTTGAACAAAACTTTATAATTTCCAATTCATCTGGAATATCCTTGAATCTAATAAAAAAAAAAGAGTCAACTTAATTGATTGTTATCAAACCAATTTTATATGGACTAAAAACTTCAAAGAAATTGCAAAAAATCTTACTTTGTAGGAACATTGAACTCTGGATATTTTTGTTTAATAAGTGTTGCAACTTCATGAATGGTTGCTTCATGTGAACAGCAAATGTATCTCCCTTGAGCTTTTGGATTCTCAAACAGAAATATATGAGCAAGACAAAGGTCATCTAAGTGGACATATTGTCCTTGTTTTATGATTGAGTAATGTACCTCATTTCCTACAAAAAAAAATTAGTATTAGTATAATAATTTTGTTATTAAACTTAATCTCTAAATTTATGATTAATATACCTGTGATTAGGGAAAGAGCAGTGATTAAACTTGGTGGCATTGATGGCATAAGAAAGGGTCCAACAACTAGTGGTGGAATGATGGAAACAAAATCTATGTTATGTTCTTTTGAATACTTCCATGCTTCTTGCTCTGCCAGTGTCTTTGAAACAAAATACATCTACAAAATATTTTCATAGATTAATCTTTATGTTAATGTTACTAATTTCTCAGTCATAATCTCTTGTTCTTGTGTGCTCAGAGCTAGATTTCAATCCAAAACCTCTGATTTAGTTGAAAGAAATCTCTTACCATCTCATCAAAATGCTCTTGGATTTAGTCGGTTTTTGAGAATAAATATGAAAATTTTAAAGAATAAATTTAAGACGGTAATTAGTAAGCACTAACCCAACCAGTCATTTTGACTCTGAGGCAAAAGTCAACGTCACTCCAACAGGTTTCATCAATGACAGGCTTTGGATTCTCAGTAACATCCACTGTTCCAGCTGAGGATGTGAATACTAATCTTCTAACTGTTTTTGCTTTCTCACATGCTTTCATTATGTCTACTAATCCATTTATTGTTGGCTTAATCACTTCATTCTGCATAAAAAAACACAAAAAATTAGCCTAACAAATCCTTGTTCAGAATCGTCGATGCTACATGATAATAAGTCGAAATATAATACCTCAGGATCTTTGGATTCAAAATCCATAGGTGTAGCCACATGAAAAACCCCTATACAACCTTTAATCGCTTCATCAAAACTACCCTCTTCAGCAAGATCAGCTTTCCAAAGTGTCAATTTGCTATTTGCACCCGGCAGTTCCAACAAATGCTTCACCTTCTTCATATTATCTGCATTAACACATATCTATTGAGCTACCTCATCTACCTAATAAAAAACAACTGTGCTATAAAATTGTAACACAAAAAAATTGCAAAATTTAAAGTTGAACCTGGATCGCGAACGGTGGCGCGAACGGTGTAACCGTGCTCGATAAGTCTCATAACAAGCCACGACCCTATAAAACCCGAGGCCCCGGTAACGCAAACGGTTTCCGACACCGAACCCATAATAAATATATATATTTAAATTCCTTTCTCTTTTATCTTAAAAAATTTGAAGAACACAATTTATCTTAGAATAGATAGAAGAAGCTTGAGTTGAGAGTAAGTGACAAAGGTTATATATAAAGGTTAGAAAGTTTGATAGTTTTAATCAGAAAAATGATTGTACAAGCTACAAAAACAAGTGACGCACGGCATATTCAAAAGCACGTGATTATCTGCCGGTACGGTTTAAGAAGAAGAAGCTGTTATTTGAACTCAAGAGCTGGTAAGTAAGAGCTGACTAAGCTTTCACATTAAATTTAAATTTGATGGATTTGAAAGCAACATCCACTTCAATTTCTTTTGTTACCATTGATAGTTACCATTGATAATCATAAAGAAGTATAATAGTATTTATATTATTAGTTATTAGTATTATTATTATTGAATTTTAGTTGTATTATTTGAGCTTTTAGTGTTATTATCCATTATTGATGTTATATAATATAGTGAGTTCGACACATTCATGAAAGAAAAGAAAATAAAGTTTATTTTATATGTTAGTTTTAATTGTCTTTCTTAACCTATCTTCTTTAATTGTTCTTGTTGAAAATATTAAATTTGATTTGGGTCTAAATTTATTAATTGGTTTTTGGGCTTAGTTATTTTGGGCTTAAGTAGTTTTCTAGAGAATTTTTGTAATATTTGGAATCTCTAGATATTTCTTATAACGGTAATATTTTCTATAATAGTCTTTGGATCTCTAGAGTTGAGAACTCTCTGGAATTAGTGTGTCTAGAGTTCTCCTTAGAGTACTATAAATAGAGATGTAATCTCACACATTTGTATCAAGCAAAAATACAAAGTTCTTCTCCTCCATAAAGAATTATCCTACTTATCAAATTTATATTCAAACCTTCAATATTCCCACACACTTCTCCTTAACATAAAAGATCTTATTTTCAACAAAGTGGTATCAGAGCTTCAAGATCCACAAAATGGTGAATGGTGGTTTCTCTTTCCAAATGTCGATGCTCACAAAGAACAACTATGATAATTGGAGTATCAAGATGAAGGCGTTACTAGGAGCTCAAGATGTGTGGGATATTGTTGAGAAAGGCTTCAAGGATCAAGATGAATCCTCGCTAAGCCAAGGTGTAAGAGAGACATTGAAGGAGTCAAGAAAGAGAGACAAGAAAGCTCTCTTTCTCATTTATCAATCAGTGGATGAAGATACATTTGAGAAGATATCCAACGCAACAACGGCCAAAGAAGCACGGGACAAGCTTCAAACTTGCAACAAAGGAGTTGAGCAGGTAAAAAAGATTCGTCTTCAAACTCTTAGAGGTGACTTTGAACATTTATTTATGGAGGAGTCCGAGTCAATTTCAGATTATTTTTCCCGAGTATTGGCTGTAGTCAATCAACTTAAGAGAAATGGTGAAGACATTGATGATGTGAAAGTCATGGAGAAAATACTTTGCACTTTAAATCCAAGTTTTGACTTCATTGTTACCAACATTGAAGAAAATAAGGATCTAAATACCATGACTATTGAGCAACTCATGGGTTCCTTACAAGCATACGAAGAAAAACAAAAGAGAAAAATTAAACAAAATGAGGCTATGGAGAAATTACTACAACTCAACATAAAGGAAGCAAACTATGTGAATTATAAGAGCCAAAGAGGACGAGGTCGTGGCCAATATCGTGGACGTGGATGAGGACATGGAGGAGAAGGAAGAGGCGGTTGCAATAACTGCTCCAACAACTTCAACAATGGAGAAAGAAGTTGGGATCCACAAGCAACAAGAGGTCGTGGAAGAGAAACCTCATGGTCGAGGAGCAATAAATCACAAGTCAAATGTTTCAACTGCAACAAGATTGGTCATTACGCAACCGAGTGTAGATTCTCGAAGAAGGTGGAAGAGAAAGCTAATTTTGTAGAAGAAAAAGGAGGAGAAGAAGAAACTTTGCTACTCGCGTGTCAAAATGAAGTTGAAGAGAAAAGAAATAAGTGGTACTTGGACACTGGCGCAAGCAACCACATGTGTGGCGATCGAAGCATGTTCGTAGAGATCAATGAAGCGACAACTGGTGATGTATCATTTGGAGATGACTCAAAGATACCGGTCAAAGGCAAAGGTAAAATTCTCATACGCTTGAAGAATGGGAGTCATCAATTCATATCCAATATCTATTATGTGCCTAACATGAAGAATAATATTTTGAGTTTGGAACAATTATTAGAGAAAGACTATGACATCCACTTAAAAGAACATAGTCTTTTCTTAAGAGATTGTAGTCATAACTTGATTGCTAATGTGCCTATGTCAAAAAATAGAATGTCCCCCTTGAACATTCAAAATGATGTAGCAAAGTGTCTCAAGGCTTGCTATACCGATTCTTCATGGCTATGGCATCTACGATTTGGGCACCTCAACTTCGATGGTTTAGAATGTTTGTCGAAGAAAGAGATGGTGAGAGGCTTTCCTAGGATCAACCACCCAGACCAACTTTGTGAAGGATGTCTAATTAGGAAGCAATTCCGAAAAAGTTTTCCAAAGGAATCAACGTCAAGAGGGACAAAACCACTAGAGCTCATACACACGGATGTCTGTGGACCAATCAAACCCAACTCGTTTGGTAAGAATAAATACTTTCTCCTCTTTATTGATGATTATTCCAGAAAAATATGGATTTATTTCTTGAAGGAGAAGTCAGAAGTATTTGACAACTTTAAGAAGTTCAAAGCCCTTGTGGAGAAAGAAAGTGGTATTTCCATCAAGGCCATGAGATCTGACCGAGGAGAGTTCACTTCAAATGAGTTCAAAAAATATTGTGAAGACCATGGAATCCGTCGCCCACTGACTATGCCAAGATCGCCTCAACAAAATGGAATAGCAGAGAGAAAGAATCGGACTATACTTAACATGGTACGAAGCATGCTCAAGAGCAAGAAGATGCCGAAGGAGTTTTGGGCCGAAGCAGTGGCATGTGCAGTTTAGTTGACAAATTGTTCCCCAACAAGAAGCGTGCATGAAAAGACACCCCAGGAAGCATGGAGTGGAAGGAAACCTGAGATCTCTCACCTCAAAGTATTTGGAAGCATTGCCTATACCCATGTTCCCGATGAAAGAAGAACAAAGCTCGATGATAAAAGTGAGAAGTATGTGTTTGCGGGTTATGACTCAAGCTCTAAAGAGCACAAGCTTTATAACCCAAATAGTGGAAAGATCATCATAAGTCATGATGTGGAGTTTAATGAAAAGGATTATTGGGATTGGAGTGCTTAAGAAGACAAGTATGACTTTCTTCCTTACTTTGAAGAAGAAGAAGAAGAAGAAGAAATGGAACAACCAATGATAGAGGAACATATTGCACCACCTTCCTCACCGACACCAAGGTTGGATGAAACAAGTTCAAGTGAGAAGATACCACGACTAAGGAGCATTGAAGAGCTTTATGAGGTAACCGAAAACCAAAACGACATTAACCTCTTTTGTCTTTTTGGTGATTGTGAGCCTCTAAGCTATCAAGAAGCGGTAGAAAACATAAAGTGGAGAGACGCCATGGACGAAGAAATCAAGTCTATCACGAAGAATGATACATGGGAACTTACTACACTTCCACAAGGACATAAAGCAATTAGAGTAAGATGGGTGTACAAGGCAAAGAAGAATGCAAAAGGAGATGTGGAGATATACAAAGCAAGATTGGTGCGAAAGGCTATACTCAAAGACAAGGAATTGACTATGATGAGGTATTTTCTCCTAATGCTCGTCTTGAAACTATTAGACTGATCATTTCCTTGGTAACCCAAAATGAATGGAAGATTTATCAAATGGATGTGAATTCAGCCTTCTTGAATGATTTTCTCGAAGAAGAAGTTTATATCGAGCAACCACTAGGCTATGAAGTAAAAGGGCAAGAAGAAAAAGTCTTAAATTTAAAGAAGGCATTGTACGGTCTCAAGCAAGCACCGAGAGCTTGGAATGTTCGAATCGACAAGTACTTTCAAGACAAGAACTTCATCAAGTGCCCATATGAGCATGCAATCTATATCAAAGCGTAAAGTGGAGATATTTTAATTGTGTGCTTGTATGTAGATGACTTGATTTTCACAGGGAACAATCCAAGCATGTTCGAAGAGTTCAAGAAAGACATGTCAAATGAATTTGAGATGACATATATGGGGTTCATGGCATATTATCTTGGCATCGAAGTAAAGCAAGAAGACAAAGGAATTTTCATCACCCAAAAAGGCTATGCCAAAGAAGTCATTAAGAAGTTCAAGATGAATGATTCCAATCCAGTTGGCACCCCGATGGAATGTGGTAGCAAGTTAAGCAAGCATGAAAACATGGAGAATATGGATCTAACTCTTTACAAAAGTTTGGTTGGAAGTCTACGTTACTTAACAAGTACAAGGTCAAATATTCTCTATGTTGTAGAAGTTGTAAGTCGATACTTGGAAGCTCCAACAACAACTCACTTCAAGGCGGCAAAGAGAATCCTTAGATACAATAAAGGTACGACTAACTTTGGCTTGCACTATTACTCTTCTAATAATTATGAGATTGTTGGCTACAGTGATAACAATTGGAGTGGAGACTTGGATGATAGGAAGAGCACTACTGATTATGTGTTTTTTATGGGAGATATTGCTTTCACTTGGATGTCAAAGAAGCAACCAATAATCACACTATCAACTTGTGAAGCCGAGTATGTCGCTGCCACATCATGCGTTTGTCATGCAATTTGGTTAAGAAACTTGTTGAAAGAGTTAAAAATACCACAAGAAGATCCAATGAAAATTTGTGTTGATAAATAAATCAGCAATTGCTTTGGCAAATAATCCAGTCTTTCATGAAAGAAGTAAGCACGTCGACACCCGTTACCACTTCATAAGAGAATGTATTGAGAAAAAAGAGGTGAAGTTGAAGTATGTAATGTCTCAAGATCAAGTTTTCGATATTTTCACCAAGCCACTAAAATTGGAAACTTTCGTGAAGCTAAGGAGTATGCTTGGAGTCACAAATCAAGTTTAAGGGGGATATTCAAAATATTAAACTTGATTTGGCCTAAATTTATTAATTGGTTTTTGGGCTTAGTTATTTTGGGCTTAAATAGTTTTTTAGAGAATTCTTGTAATATTTAGAATCTCTAAATATTTCTTATAATTGTAATATTTTCTAGAATAGTCTTTGGATCTCTAGAGTTGAGAACTCTCTAAAATTAGTGTGTCTAGAGTTCTCCTTAGAGTACTATAAATAGAGATGTAATCTCACACATTTGTATCAAGCAAAAATACAAAGTTCTTCTTCTCCATAAAGAATTATCCTACTTATCAAATTTATATTCAAACCTTCAATATTCCCATACACTTCTCTTTAACATAAAAGATCTTATTTCCAACCGTCCTTTTATTTCTTAGTCTTTTTTAAGTTTGTTAGGATTGTATTTAGTTCCATAACATTGGAGTTCTTATTCTTGAACTTCAATGCTTCCATGATATATCCATAATATCACTCTTTCGTTCCTTCATACGTTGCTTCATCACCATTTTATCATTCCTCCATTTCTCTTTATTATTCAACTTTTACAACCACACCACCTATATCATTTAACCCATATCCACCACCCATAAACTCAAACCCTTAATATTCAAGCTATCCTAACTACCAACCTTAACCTCAACATTTCTTCTCACAATGAGAAACACCTAACTAGAAACTTTCAAATAATATTTGATTGAAACTCATGAGATCTCAAACAAATATAGAGAGGAGTTGAAGGACCAGATTCAAAATCTTTCTAATTCATTCAAAAAGTAAAAAAAAAAATGCTGCTAAGAGAATTACAGATACACAAACAGAAAAAGAAGGAATCGAAAAAGTTTTTGATTCACTGAAATCGTCTCCGGCGACAACTCCGACAAGTATTCCGGCAACACCTCCGGCGACTATTATGTCATCTTCCCCGACAAAATTTTGATTGTCTTCTCCGACGAAAACACGTCCATCTTCAGAAAAACAAACATATTCAACAGTAAAAATAGACCTGTCACTGAAAAAGAGAATATCATCGTTTACAAAAACTCCGACTTCACTTCTAACAACATCACCAGTGTTACTTCGGAAATGAAAGAAAGAGAAACAGAAAAAAATGAAAGAAAAAGTAAAAAACATTCTAAAAAAAATCACTTTTAATAATTTAAAAAGTTAGCCAATGGTTTTAACAAAACCACTTTTTTATTCAACCAATAAAGTCTCTCTTTCATGTGCTATTTCTCTTTCTCAACGTGTGTTTTAGGTTTCTATGTTTTGTGGGGTCCACAGTTAGTACATTGGTGAGAACTACCTGCCATTTCAAAAATAAAAAATTTGCTATAGTGTACTATTCTGACCATTTCCACGAAATTCTCCCACTTTCCATTCTTCTTTTCATTTGTTTTTCTAATGCTAGCTAAATGCATAAAAATAATTAAATAAATAATATTGATTATCTTGTGAGAAAAAAATATCATGTAGTGATAATTTTAAAACTTTAAGGATAGATTTAAATGAACCCCGATATCAATGATAGATGGGTATAATAATATTTATTTTATAAGTTGTATTTGAGTTTTTTTGTGTTATTATTTATTATTGATGTTATATAATATAGTGTTTTTGACATATTTAAAATATCAAAAAAATAAAAATAAAATTTATTTTATTAGATAGTTTTACTTGTTTTTCTTAACTGATCTTCTTTATTGTCTTTTTATTTCTTAGCCTTTCTTAAATTTGTTAAGATTTTATTTAGCTTCCCGACAGATAACTAATATTTACTTAAAATGAACATCAATGTTATTTCAAGACTTGGTCCTTTAATTTGATATCAGAATTTATTTTAAAAAATATCATATTAATTTCTTTAATAGTAAAAAAATATTGTACTAATTGTTTTGATCTTACATTTAACATCAATATACCTCACCGATCATGTCATTCTGTTAAATTATAATTCAGTGTGTTGAAACTATGTGTCGAAAAAATTTGATTTGTTTTAGATTTAAATAAATTTGATTTAAGTCTAGAATAAATTAGATTTGATTTAGTAACAAAAATATATTTTGGGCTTTGGGCTTTGAGTGTAAGCTCAGTTATAAATAGAAGGAGTAACCCCTATTTTTTGTAAGCAAGCTATTCACAGTATTTTGCAGTTGCAAAGTGAATAAGAAAGTTTTCACAGTTTGTGAGCAGAGAGAAACTCTGCAGAAATTATTTGTCTTGTCTTATTTTCTTTGTTTGTCTCATAATTAAATTATCATTGTGGTAGAAATTCATCATACAATTTGGTGGATTTCCAACATCTGGTATCAAGAGCTTTGTTTCGATTCAAGGGAAGTATCAATCAAGAACGGTTGAAGAATTCACGATGACAAGTTATGGGAATGCAAACTATCCAACAACACTACTAATTCTGAAAGTTGACAACTATGAGAATTGGTGCAAACAAATGAAAGTCTTATTCAGGTGTCAAGGTCTTTGGGACCTTGTAAAAGATGGAGTCGAAGCGCTTGGAGAAAACGCTTCAGAAGAAGAAAAGAAGAAATATACAGAATCTGAGAAGCTGAGTTATAAAGCACTATTTATAATTCATCAATGTGTCAGCCCAGACAATTTCGAAAAAGTTAGTGATTCAGAATCTGCAAAAGAAGCTTGGGAAATCCTTGAGAAGTCTTTTGGAGGCGCTGATAAGGTGAAAGAAGTGAGGTTACAAACTCACAAAAGGACGTACGAACTGCTTCAGATGGAAGACAGTGAAAGCATATCTGATTTCTTTACTAGAGTTACAAAACTAGTAAATCAAATCAAGATATGTGGAGAAACGTTAACAACAAGAGTTGTTGTTTCAAAGATTTTAAGATCTTTGGCCCCTAAGTTCGACCACATAGTGGTATCGATAGAAGATGGGGAAGACTTGTCGAAATTGACAAAGGAAGAGCTTCAAGGGACGCTTGAATATCATGAACAAAGAATGAACGAAAGAGTTGCAGGAAAATCGAAGAGTGACATGGCCTTGCAGGCACGTTAAGTAAAAGAGACCAAAGGCAAAGGAAAGTGTTTCGACAAAGGTAGAGGTGACTACAACAAATCGAATGGTAAAGGAAACCAAATCGAAGGAAACGTGTCGAATCAAAGAAGAACATACCAAGGCAACCAAAGAGGTGGTGTTGTAAATAGAGGAAGAGGTGGTGGTCGAAAACCTGATAAGAGTCACATTCAATATTACAATTGTCAGAAGTATGGTCACTATTCGAGTGATTGTCCAGAAAAATGAAAGAATCAAGAAAGTGATGCAAAGCTTGCAAAACATGAAGAAGAAGAGATGATGCTGATGGTCACAACAAAAGATGAAGATATATTCAAGGACCAATGGTACTTGGATTCAGGATGTTCATCACATATGTCTGGAAGGAAAAACTGGTTTGTCAATATAAAGCCCTCAATGAAAAATATGGTAAAATTTGCAAATGACAATACCCTAGCAGCTGAAGGTATTGGTGATGTTATGATTATGAGGAAAGATGGCAAGAGGTCAGTAACTTCTAATGTGTTGTACATACCAGGCATGAAGAGCAATTTGCTCAGTATAGGGCAGTTAGTCGAAAAGAATTATAAAGTGTCAATCAAAGATAAGATGATGAGAGTCGTTGATGCAAATGGGAGATTAATCTTGAAGGCTCATATGTCTCAGAATCGAACCTTCAAGATTGAACTAAATGTGATGGAACACGAGTGCCTTTCGACTGCAGCTAGCAGAGATGAATGGATATGGCATTATAGACTAGGCCATCTCAACAAGAGACATCAGAGATTTGAAGAGAAGAAATATGGTTTCAGGATTTCCAGAAATCGACATTCCAAACGAGGTATGTGAGGAATGTGTGCAGGCGAAGCAACACAAGAATAGCTTCAACAAGGATGCAGGAAGCGGGTCGAAGGCTAGTCTTGAAGTCATATACTCTGATGTATATGGACCAATCCAGGTGGATTCGATGGGAGGTAACAAGTACTTTGTTACATTCATAGATGATTTCAATCAAAAGTTGTGGACTTATCTGATCAAGAAGAAAAGTGAAGTGATTGAAGTATTTTCCAAGTTTAAGTCTATGGTCGAAAAACAGAGTGGTAGAAAGCTCAAAGTTTTGAGATCTGATGGTGGTGGAGAATATGTGCCGAAAGACTTTGACAGTCTATGCAAAAAGGAAGGGATTATGCATGAGGTGTTGCCATCCTATACTCCACAACAAAGTGGAATTGCATAAAGGAAGAATCGAACCATCATGAATATAGTGAGAAGTATGTTGAAAGGCAAGAATTTACCTAAAGAGTTTTGGGGTGAAGCTGTTTCGACTGCAACATACATTTTGAACAGATGTCCTACAAAGAAGCTAGAAGGAATTACTCCAGAAGAATCTTGGTCTGATGTGAAGCCTAGCTTGAGTCATCTGAAGGTATTTAGATCTATTGCACATAGACATGTGCCAGATCAGTTGAGAAGAAAACTTGATGACAAGTCAAGTCAAATGATTCTAGTTGGATATAATTCGACAGGAGGCTACAAGTTGTTCGATCCAGAGAACAAGAAGATTATGATCAGCAGGGACGTGATCATAGATGAGTTTAAAGAATGGGATTGGACTGAAAATGTCAAGAAAGATTCAGTGGGAATCCTATTCGAAGAGCCAGAAACTCAAGTCGAAAGAGAAGTTCGACAAGAGGAACCAGCAGATATACCAAGCACAAGCAGACCTCAAAGAACAAGACGCATGCCTGCAAGATTTCAAGATTGTGTGATTACATCAGATGATGTGATAGATGATGAAGGTGAGCTGGTACATTATGCTTTCTATGCAGATGTTGAACCCGTTAATGCAGCTGAAGCATTGAAGGATTTGAAGTGGGTGAAAGCAATGAACGAAGAAGTGAAGTCTATCGAAGACAACAACACTTGGTCACTTGTCGAATTGCCTCAAGGCAAGAAGGAAATTGATGTCAAGTGTGTATACAAAGTGAAAACAAATTCAAAAGGTGAAGTAACTCGACACAAAGCAAGGCTTGTGGCGAAAGGATTTCTACAGAAAGAAGGAATAGACTTCGATGAATTTTTTGCACCTGTTACTAGGATCAAAACAATCAGGTTGGTTGTTGGTCTAGCAGAAATAAACAGTTGGCACATATGTCAAATGGATGTGAAGTGTGCATTCCTAAATGGACCCTTAGAAGAAGAAGTTTATGTTCAATAACCAGTTGGGTTTGTGAAACACGACGAAGAAAGAAAGGTGTACAGGCTGCATAAAGCCCTGTATGGATTGAAACAAGCTCCAAGAGCTTGGAATAAGAAAATTGATAGTTTCCTAAGGGAGAAGGAATTTGTAAAGTGCACAACTGAACATAGAGTATATGTAAGAAGAAGCAAGAGTAAATTGCTTATACCATGTCTCTATGTAGATGATTTGTTAATAACAGGTAGCTGTAAAAGTGAGATTGAAGACTTCAAAGGTGATCTCAGCAAGGAATTCAAAATTTCTGACTTGGGTGAGATTTTATATTTCCTTGGAATCGAATTCTATAAGAGCAGTAGAGGTTTGATGATGCATCAAAGAAGATATGCAGGAGAAATTCTCAAGAGGTTTGAGATGGAAGAATACAACTCAACTTCGACACCTGCAGAACCAAGACTGCAACTGTCAAAAAATGCAGATGAAGATGATGTTAATCCAACCCAATGCAGAAGACTTATTGGATCATTGAGATACCTTTGTCATACAAGGCCTGACTTAGGATACAATGTAGGTATGGTAAGTAGATTCATGCAGAAGCCAAAGGTATCACATCTAGCAGCAGTGAATAGGATACTAAGGTATCTCAAAGGAACTTTCGATTATGGCATTTTTTTCTTGTAGCTGATAAAGGAAAAGAATGCAAGTTAGTGGAATACACTGATTCGAGTTGGTGTAGTGATGCTGAAGATCGAAAGTCAACAGCAGGATATGTGTTTATGCTAGGTGGTGCATCAGTTGCTTGGAATTCAAGAAAGGAACCAGTAGTGGCATTATCATCATGCGAAGCAGAATACATAACTGCTTCTCTTTGTGCATGTCAAGCAACTTGGATGGTGAACTTGGTCGAAGAGA